TCTGCTCAGGGCACACACTTTGCTTCTAAAATAATAAGATTATTCTGTCAGTCATTAGGTATTCAGTGGGAATATTCTAAGTGGTATTGGAATATTCTAAGTGGTATTCTTTATCTGCTAGATTATTTCCTCCGGTGTGGTAATCTAATTAGGTATTCAGTGGGAAAATTCTAAGGAGAATCTCCATCCTTTACTGGATGCGGGGGGGGAAACCTTGTTACAAAAGATGAGGAAAAGGCGGAGGTGCTTATGCCTTCTTTGCCTGTCTTTAGCGGCAATACCGGTTGTTCTCTGGCTACCCGGTACCCTGAGCTGGCAGAAGGGGATGGGGAGCTGAATGTGGCCCTCACTATCCACGAAGAAATGGTTGGTGACCTGGTATGGCACTTGGATGTGCGCAAGTCGATGGGGCCGGATGGGATCCACCCGAGGGTACTGAGAGAACTGGCAGAGGAGCTGGCCAAGCCGCTTACCATCATTTATCAACAGTCCTGGCTATCGGGGGAGGTCCCAGTTGACTGGCGGCTAGCAAATGTGACGCCCATCTACAAGAAGGGCCGTAGGGCAGACCCGGGGAACTATAGGCCTGTCAGTTTGACCTCAGTGCCAGGGAAGCTCATGGAGCAGATTATCTTGAGAGTCATCACGCGGCACTTGCAGGGCAAGCAGGCGATCAGGCCCAGTCAGCATGGGTTTATGAAAGGCAGGTCCTGCTTGACGAGCCTGATCTCCTTCTATGACAAAGTGACGCGCTTGGTGGATGAGGGAAAGGCTGTGGATGTGGTCTACCTTGACTTCAGCAAGGCTTTTGACACCGTTTCCCACAGCATTCTCCTCAGGAAACTGGCTGCTCTTGGCTTGGACTGGCGCACGCTTCGTTGGGTTAGAAACTGGCTGGATAGCCGGGCCCAAAGAGTCGTGGTAACTGGAGTCAAATCCAGTTGGAGGCCGGTTACTAGTGGCGTTCCCCAGGGCTCGGTGCTGGGGCCGGTCCTCTTTAATATCTTCATCGATGATCTGGATGAGGGCATTGAGGGTACCCTCAGTAAGTTCGCAGATGACACCAAGTTAGGTGCGTGTGTCGATCTGCTCGAGGGTAGGAAGGCTCTGCAGGAGGATCTGGATAGGCTGGACCGATGGGCTGAGGTCAACTGCATGAAGTTCAACAAGGCCAAGTGCCGGGTCCTGCACCTGGGGCGCAATAACCCCAAGCAGAGCTACAGGCTGGGAGAGGAATGGTTGGAAAGCTGCCAGGCGGAGAAGGACCTGGGAGTATTGGTTGATAGTCGGCTGAATATGAGCCAGCAGTGTGCTCAGGTGGCCGAGAAGGCCAACGGCATCCTGGCTTGTATAAGAAGCAGTGTGGCCAGCAGGGCTAGGGAAGTGATCGTCCCCCTGTACTCGGCTCTGGTGAGGCCGCACCTCGAGTACTGTGTTCGGTTTTGGGCCCCTCGCTCCAAGAAGGACATGGAGGTGCTTGAGCGAGTCCACAGAAGGGCGACGAAGCTGGTGAGGGGTCTGGAGAACAAGTCCTACGAGGAGCGGCTGAGGGAGCTGGGCTTGTTCAGCCTGGAGAAGAGGAGGCTCAGGGGCGACCTTATCGCTCTCTACAGGTACCTTAAAGGAGGCTGTAGCGAGGTGGGGGTTGGTCTGTTCTCCCACGTGCCTGGTGACAGGACGAGGAGGGGGAATGGGCTAAAGTTGCGCCAGGGGAGTTTTAGGTTGGATGTTAGGAAGAACTTCTTTACCGAAAGGGTTGTTAGACATTGGAACAGGCTGCCCAGGGAAGTGGTGGAGTCACCATCCCTGGAAGTCTTTAAAAGATGTTTAGATGTAGAGCTTAGGGATATGGTTTAGAGGGGACTGTTAGCGTTAGGTCAGAGGTTGGACTCGATGATCTTGAGGTCTCTTCCAACCTAGAAATTCTGTGATTCTGTGAATATCATACTCCATGGCACCCACAAAGCTCAGGGAAAGTAGAAAGATTGAATCAACAACAAAAAAAACAACAATTGGCTAAATCAATGATCGAGACACAAATGCCCTGGATGAAATGCTTACCATTGGCACTTCGAAACATAAGAACTAAACCACACAGTGAGACTGGATTATCGCCATATGAAATGTTATATGGTATGCCTTATTCATAGGGAATGCCTCTGGGAAACAATGTAGTTGAGGATCGTAGTATCCAGAAATACATAATTACTGTTGGGAAAAGATTGCAAGAGCTAAGAGAAATTGGAGTGATGGCTCAGACACCACCTTTAGGATTTGCTATTCATAAGATACAACCAGGGGACAAGGTCTTAATAAAAACCTGGAGAGAAGAATCATTGCACCCCCGGTGGGAGGGACCGTACCTTGTTTCACTTACCACTGAAACAGCTGTGAGAACAGCAGAAAGGGGTTGGACCCATGCATCCAGAGTAAAAGGACCAATAAATACCAAAACTTGGAGGGTTGAGTCCGCTCCTGGGGAACTGAAATTAAAGCTAAAAAAGAACTAATGTTCTGGCAATAAGGCTCTGCATAAATTAAGGATGCCAGAAGAAGGGGACAAGCCTGAAGGGAAGAAAGGGAGAAGGCAAGACCGGGGCAGGACTCTCCACTGCGGTGTGTATGGTCTACCGAGGGAGGCAACCCCTATGGGTATTGACCGCCGAGTGAGAGGGCCTCGACCGGACTTCTCCCGCACTAAAGCCAGGTTGTCCCAGGAAAAAGAAACAAACAAGCAAGCAAAGATATATGTATATAATAAATAAGCTTTTTTTTTAACCTATTGTAATTAGTTTTCCAGGAGCTGGATCACCCTCAAAGGCTGAACAGTAACCCAAGCTCAAATAGATCCTGGAAGTGGGCCCAACCCCTTGATTGAAGGTATTTCTCACACCCCCACGATACCCCCTGGACGACGCAGAAGGATGTTATACTTCCTGGTACTATTTTTACAAGGGCAATTAAGCCATGGGAATAACTTTTTCATTCTGGGGGAGGAAGTGGCCAAGGCTTTTAACCTTAGCAATTGCTGGGTTTGTGGGGGACCAGGGGGAGCTGAAAGTTGGCCCTGGGTAGCTGGCCCGGTTGAACCTAAGGGGTGGGTTAGTAATTTGAGTGAAGTTCATAATGGTACACAATTCTGGAAAGGGGAAGAAGGCCCGTGGCAGTTGCACTCGTCAGAGAAAGGTATATACTGTTTAAACAGAACAGGAACAGTAAAGGTGGGAAAAAGCATTTGTAAATGGGCTCTATCTCCTGGATATGAATGTACTGATCCTGAATGTGGACCTAGAAACTGTACAGCAAGTAAAGGGAAATGGAATGCTACGCATGTCCAGCTGAAAAACGGGACTTGGCTGAAATGCTCATATAAGACGTTTTTTGGACCTGGATGTGAAGCCATGGCAAGAGCACAATCAAAGGGACAATTTGACGTTCAAATCCTGAGTTGTCAGCGTGATAACACCACTAGGGAGCAGCATGTGGTAAAGAGTCTACCGCTGGAGGTGGCAAAATGAGAATGGGACACAAGTGTTCTTTAAACGTTTCTGGTCAGCTCGTAATATGACAAGTCGTGAAGGAGAACTTAGTCGTAATTGTGAGTGGGAATCTAGTGCGGGAGCTTGGAGGTGTATATATATGAGTACTAATGGGGCAAACATTGTAACAGGACCACTTGGTAATGAAAACACTTTGTATTTTCACGCCCCAAGGAATAAAAGAGAACGGGACGGTCCTTTTCCAAATGGGACGTGGGCTCATTATTGGGTGTGTGGCAAACAGGCCTATAAAAGGCTACCAAAGGACTGGTCAGGAATATGCTATGTGGGGTACATAAGACCCTTGTTCTTTTTATTGTCACAAATACAAGGAAATCACTTAGGAATAAAATTATATGATGATCTGAATAGAGAAAAACGATCTATTGATGCTTCCTTAGCCGGAGGTAGTGCTCAAAAACGGAGAGACAATGAATGGCCCCCTGAAAGAATCATACAGTATTATGGACCGGCTACCCGGAACCCGAATGAGGTAATATCTGGAGCCCGAGAACCTCTTCATAATTTGAATCGAATAATTAGGTTGCAAGCTGTCCTCGAAATAATAAGCAATCAAACAGCGACAGCTTTGGATCTTTTAGCTGACCAGTCCGCCCAGATGAGGAATGCTATTTTTCAACATAGAATGGTTTTAGACTATTTACTAGCAGAAGGGGGGGGGGGGGGTGTGGGAAACTAAATGATTCTAATTGTTGCTTACAAATTGACGATAATGGGAAAGTGGTTAAACAGATAACAAAAGAAATTAGAAAATTGGCCCACGTCCCAGCACAAACTTGGAAGGGTATGGATTGGGATTTATTTTCTTGGCTGCCTGGTGGACCATGGGTTAGAAGGATGTTATTTTTATTTTTATGTGCTGTAATGATGTTATTATTCATACCTTGTATGATACCTTGCTTTACATTATTGATGCGCCGGATGATAAATAGTACATTTGTAATGACTTCATTAAAAAAGGAAGTCAATTATGATGCTTAAGAATTGGACCCTCTGAGAACGGACTGATGAACTCCAGTTATTAATGACAAAAGTTGAAAAAGAGACACGAATTGAGGATATTAAAAAGAAGATAAGGGATTGTGAGGAATGTTTTAACAATTCGTGTCAATAGAGAGCTTGAAGGAAAATGTATTCGTATGTTCTTTCCTTGAAGTCTCTGATACCTGGGGGTTTCAGAACAACTGCTAACTGTTATGACTTCTGAATGGGACACTATGCAAGCCCCTGATATCTTGATATCTGGCCAGGAGATTAGGGAGAAGGGAAAAGCTGAAGGACGGCTAAAAGACAAAGCTTGCAGGGAACGCTGTGCAAGCTTTTGACATACAGCCAAGGAGTGCAAAGAAGAAGGACAAGAAAAAAAAAGCCTGAGAGGAAGACTATGAGCCTTCATCATGAAAGACCCCCAGAGGGAGCACCAGAGACTGATACGGCATGCTCCAGTAGGAGGGTTCAGATTCCGGAACTAATTATAATAACTCCGTTGTTTGGTTTTTTTTAGAAATAGTAATGAATATGTATTAGTCTAGGAGCATAAAAAATCAGCATCTTGATGTAACGGGTGTGCGACCAGGTGGAGCGGAGACTCCCGGCGCACCCAGCGCTGTTTGCCAGCGCTGTTTGCTTACCTCTATTCTTTTAATAAATTGTAAACTTTGATTATAATCCTATTTTGGGACTGAGCTATTTATAACAACTTGGGGGCTCGTCCGGGATGGTTTTGGTTCCTGGATTTTAATCTAGGAGAGGCGCCCCCACCATTTGGTGGCTCCTGTCCGGAACCAATGCCATCTTGAACCTGAATAAAGGTAAGCAAAGATTTTGATTTTGTTATGAGCTCCCTTGCCGGCTGCAGCATTGTTTTTGCCCGTAATTCTGCGCGCGAAGATCCGAACGAAGACGACGGAGTCGTAAGCATTTAAGGCGTGTACCGTTCGGTTGGGTGGGATTCGGTTGCCTGTGTGTGTGTAAGAGTGTGACTGAGACGGAACGTAGTTCCGAAGCGAGTGCGGAGGTCTTCTAACCGATAAGCAAATACTGGGACGTTTGCATGCACAAACACATTGGGGTACAAAGGTGTTAAGTGATCATTTACTAAAACAATTTGGTTGCATTGTTTGTTTTTGAAATAGCAAAGCAAATTACACCACGTTGCTTAACTTGTCAGAAGATAAATAAGAAAGTGTTTTGACAAGCAGCCACGGGAGGGAGAAAAACAGCTTATAGGCCTTTCGAGAGGGTACAAGTTGGTTTCACTGAATTGCCCCAGGTAGGGAGGATAAGATATCTATTGGTAATAGTAGATCGCTTAACGCAATGGGTAGAAGCTTATCCCGTAGCAGGAGCTACGGCACAAATGGTGGCAAAAATTCTATTAGAACACCTGATACCTAAATACGGGATAATCCAGTACATTGATTCTGCTCAGGGCACACACTTTGCTTCTAAAATAATAAGATTATTCTGTCAGTCATTAGGTATTCAGTGGGAATATTCTAAGTGGTATTGGAATATTCTAAGTGGTATTCTTTATCTGCTAGATTATTTCCTCCGGTGTGGTAATCTAATTAGGTATTCAGTGGGAAAATTCTAAGGAGAATCTCCATCCTTTACTGGATGCGGGGGGGGAAACCTTGTTACAAAAGATGAGGAAAAGGCGGAGGTGCTTATGCCTTCTTTGCCTGTCTTTAGCGGCAATACCGGTTGTTCTCTGGCTACCCGGTACCCTGAGCTGGCAGAAGGGGATGGGGAGCTGAATGTGGCCCTCACTATCCACGAAGAAATGGTTGGTGACCTGGTATGGCACTTGGATGTGCGCAAGTCGATGGGGCCGGATGGGATCCACCCGAGGGTACTGAGAGAACTGGCAGAGGAGCTGGCCAAGCCGCTTACCATCATTTATCAACAGTCCTGGCTATCGGGGGAGGTCCCAGTTGACTGGCGGCTAGCAAATGTGACGCCCATCTACAAGAAGGGCCGTAGGGCAGACCCGGGGAACTATAGGCCTGTCAGTTTGACCTCAGTGCCAGGGAAGCTCATGGAGCAGATTATCTTGAGAGTCATCACGCGGCACTTGCAGGGCAAGCAGGCGATCAGGCCCAGTCAGCATGGGTTTATGAAAGGCAGGTCCTGCTTGACGAGCCTGATCTCCTTCTATGACAAAGTGACGCGCTTGGTGGATGAGGGAAAGGCTGTGGATGTGGTCTACCTTGACTTCAGCAAGGCTTTTGACACCGTTTCCCACAGCATTCTCCTCAGGAAACTGGCTGCTCTTGGCTTGGACTGGCGCACGCTTCGTTGGGTTAGAAACTGGCTGGATAGCCGGGCCCAAAGAGTCGTGGTAACTGGAGTCAAATCCAGTTGGAGGCCGGTTACTAGTGGCGTTCCCCAGGGCTCGGTGCTGGGGCCGGTCCTCTTTAATATCTTCATCGATGATCTGGATGAGGGCATTGAGGGTACCCTCAGTAAGTTCGCAGATGACACCAAGTTAGGTGCGTGTGTCGATCTGCTCGAGGGTAGGAAGGCTCTGCAGGAGGATCTGGATAGGCTGGACCGATGGGCTGAGGTCAACTGCATGAAGTTCAACAAGGCCAAGTGCCGGGTCCTGCACCTGGGGCGCAATAACCCCAAGCAGAGCTACAGGCTGGGAGAGGAATGGTTGGAAAGCTGCCAGGCGGAGAAGGACCTGGGAGTATTGGTTGATAGTCGGCTGAATATGAGCCAGCAGTGTGCTCAGGTGGCCGAGAAGGCCAACGGCATCCTGGCTTGTATAAGAAGCAGTGTGGCCAGCAGGGCTAGGGAAGTGATCGTCCCCCTGTACTCGGCTCTGGTGAGGCCGCACCTCGAGTACTGTGTTCGGTTTTGGGCCCCTCGCTCCAAGAAGGACATGGAGGTGCTTGAGCGAGTCCACAGAAGGGCGACGAAGCTGGTGAGGGGTCTGGAGAACAAGTCCTACGAGGAGCGGCTGAGGGAGCTGGGCTTGTTCAGCCTGGAGAAGAGGAGGCTCAGGGGCGACCTTATCGCTCTCTACAGGTACCTTAAAGGAGGCTTGTAGCGAGGTGGGGGTTGGTCTGTTCTCCCACGTGCCTGGTGACAGGACGAGGAGGGGGAATGGGCTAAAGTTGCGCCAGGGGAGTTTTAGGTTGGATGTTAGGAAGAACTTCTTTACCGAAAGGGTTGTTAGACATTGGAACAGGCTGCCCAGGGAAGTGGTGGAGTCACCATCCCTGGAAGTCTTTAAAAGATGTTTAGATGTAGAGCTTAGGGATATGGTTTAGAGGGGACTGTTAGCGTTAGGTCAGAGGTTGGACTCGATGATCTTGAGGTCTCTTCCAACCTAGAAATTCTGTGATTCTGTGAATATCATACTCCATGGCACCCACAAAGCTCAGGGAAAGTAGAAAGATTGAATCAAACAACAAAAAAAAAACAACAATTGGCTAAATCAATGATCGAGACACAAATGCCCTGGATGAAATGCTTACCATTGGCACTTCGAAACATAAGAACTAAACCACACAGTGAGACTGGATTATCGCCATATGAAATGTTATATGGTATGCCTTATTCATAGGGAATGCCTCTGGGAAACAATGTAGTTGAGGATCGTAGTATCCAGAAATACATAATTACTGTTGGGAAAAGATTGCAAGAGCTAAGAGAAATTGGAGTGATGGCTCAGACACCACCTTTAGGATTTGCTATTCATAAGATACAACCAGGGGACAAGGTCTTAATAAAAACCTGGAGAGAAGAATCATTGCACCCCCGGTGGGAGGGACCGTACCTTGTTTCACTTACCACTGAAACAGCTGTGAGAACAGCAGAAAGGGGTTGGACCCATGCATCCAGAGTAAAAGGACCAATAAATACCAAAACTTGGAGGGTTGAGTCCGCTCCTGGGGAACTGAAATTAAAGCTAAAAAAGAACTAATGTTCTGGCAATAAGGCTCTGCATAAATTAAGGATGCCAGAAGAAGGGGACAAGCCTGAAGGGAAGAAAGGGAGAAGGCAAGACCGGGGCAGGACTCTCCACTGCGGTGTGTATGGTCTACCGAGGGAGGCAACCCCTATGGGTATTGACCGCCGAGTGAGAGGGCCTCGACCGGACTTCTCCCGCACTAAAGCCAGGTTGTCCCAGGAAAAAGAAACAAACAAGCAAGCAAAGATATATGTATATAATAAATAAGCTTTTTTTTTAACCTATTGTAATTAGTTTTCCAGGAGCTGGATCACCCTCAAAGGCTGAACAGTAACCCAAGCTCAAATAGATCCTGGAAGTGGGCCCAACCCCTTGATTGAAGGCATTTCTCACACCCCCACGATACCCCCTGGACGACGCAGAAGGATGTTATACTTCCTGGTACTATTTTTACAAGGGCAATTAAGCCATGGGAATAACTTTTTCATTCTGGGGGAGGAAGTGGCCAAGGCTTTTAACCTTAGCAATTGCTGGGTTTGTGGGGGACCAGGGGGAGCTGAAAGTTGGCCCTGGGTAGCTGGCCCGGTTGAACCTAAGGGGTGGGTTAGTAATTTGAGTGAAGTTCATAATGGTACACAATTCTGGAAAGGGGAAGAAGGCCCGTGGCAGTTGCACTCGTCAGAGAAAGGTATATACTGTTTAAACAGAACAGGAACAGTAAAGGTGGGAAAAAGCATTTGTAAATGGGCTCTATCTCCTGGATATGAATGTACTGATCCTGAATGTGGACCTAGAAACTGTACAGCAAGTAAAGGGAAATGGAATGCTACGCATGTCCAGCTGAAAAACGGGACTTGGCTGAAATGCTCATATAAGACGTTTTTTGGACCTGGATGTGAAGCCATGGCAAGAGCACAATCAAAGGGACAATTTGACGTTCAAATCCTGAGTTGTCAGCGTGATAACACCAGTAGGGAGCAGCATGTGGTAAAGAGTCTACCGCTGGAGGTGGCAAAATGAGAATGGGACACAAGTGTTCTTTAAACGTTTCTGGTCAGCTCGTAATATGACAAGTCGTGAAGGAGAACTTAGTCGTAATTGTGAGTGGGAATCTAGTGCGGGAGCTTGGAGGTGTATATATATGAGTACTAATGGGGCAAACATTGTAACAGGACCACTTGGTAATGAAAACACTTTGTATTTTCACGCCCCAAGGAATAAAAGAGAACGGGACGGTCCTTTTCCAAATGGGACGTGGGCTCATTATTGGGTGTGTGGCAAACAGGCCTATAAAAGGCTACCAAAGGACTGGTCAGGAATATGCTATGTGGGGTACATAAGACCCTTGTTCTTTTTATTGTCACAAATACAAGGAAATCACTTAGGAATAAAATTATATGATGATCTGAATAGAGAAAAACGATCTATTGATGCTTCCTTAGCCGGAGGTAGTGCTCAAAAACGGAGAGACAATGAATGGCCCCCTGAAAGAATCATACAGTATTATGGACCGGCTACCCGGAACCCGAATGAGGTAATATCTGGAGCCCGAGAACCTCTTCATAATTTGAATCGAATAATTAGGTTGCAAGCTGTCCTCGAAATAATAAGCAATCAAACAGCGACAGCTTTGGATCTTTTAGCTGACCAGTCCGCCCAGATGAGGAATGCTATTTTTCAACATAGAATGGTTTTAGACTATTTACTAGCAGAAGGGGGGGGGGGGGGGTGTGGGAAACTAAATGATTCTAATTGTTGCTTACAAATTGACGATAATGGGAAAGTGGTTAAACAGATAACAAAAGAAATTAGAAAATTGGCCCACGTCCCAGCACAAACTTGGAAGGGTATGGATTGGGATTTATTTTCTTGGCTGCCTGGTGGACCATGGGTTAGAAGGATGTTATTTTTATTTTTATGTGCTGTAATGATGTTATTATTCATACCTTGTATGATACCTTGCTTTACATTATTGATGCGCCGGATGATAAATAGTACATTTGTAATGACTTCATTAAAAAAGGAAGTCAATTATGATGCTTAAGAATTGGACCCTCTGAGAACGGACTGATGAACTCCAGTTATTAATGACAAAAGTTGAAAAAGAGACACGAATTGAGGATATTAAAAAGAAGATAAGGGATTGTGAGGAATGTTTTAACAATGTGTGTCAATAGAGAGCTTGAAGGAAAATGTATTCGTATGTTCTTTCCTTGAAGTCTCTGATACCTGGGGGTTTCAGAACAACTGCTAACTGTTATGACTTCTGAATGGGACACTATGCAAGCCCCTGATATCTTGATATCTGGCCAGGAGATTAGGGAGAAGGGAAAAGCTGAAGGACGGCTAAAAGACAAAGCTTGCAGGGAACGCTGTGCAAGCTTTTGACATACAGCCAAGGAGTGCAAAGAAGAAGGACAAGAAAAAAAAAGCCTGAGAGGAAGACTATGAGCCTTCATCATGAAAGACCCCCAGAGGGAGCACCAGAGACTGATAGGCATGCTCCAGTAGGAGGGTTCAGATTCCGGAACTAATCATAATAACTCCGTTGTTTTTTTTTAGAAATAGTAATGAATATGTATTAGTCTAGGAGCATAAAAAATCAGCATCTTGATGTAACGGGTGTGCGACCAGGTGGAGCGGAGACTCCCGGCGCACCCAGCGCTGTTTGCCAGCGCTGTTTGCTTACCTCTATTCTTTTAATAAATTGTAAACTTTGATTATAATCCTATTTTGGGACTGAGCTATTTATAACAACTTGGGGGCTCGTCCGGGATGGTTTTGGTTCCTGGATTTTAATCTAGGAGAGGCGCCCCCACCATTTGGTGGCTCCTGTCCGGAACCAATGCCATCTTGAACCTGAATAAAGGTAAGCAAAGATTTTGATTTTGTTATGAGCTCCCTTGCCGGCTGCAGCATTGTTTTTGCCCGTAATTCTGCGCGCGAAGATCCGAACAAAGACGACGGAGTCGTAAGCATTTAAGGCGTGTACCGTTCGGTTGGGTGGGATTCGGTTGCCTGTGTGTGTGTAAGAGTGTGACTGAGACGGAACGTAGTTCCGAAGCGAGTGCGGAGGTCTTCTAACCGATAAGCAAATACTGGGACGTTTGCATGCACAAACACATTGGGGTACAAAGGTGTTAAGTGATCATTTACTAAACAATTTGGTTGCATTGTTTGTTTTTGAAATAGCAAAGCAAATTACACCACGTTGCTTAACTTGTCAGAAGATAAATAAGAAAGTGTTTTGACAAGCAGCCACGGGAGGGAGAAAAAACAGCTTATAGGCCTTTCGAGAGGGTACAAGTTGGTTTCACTGAATTGCCCCAGGTAGGGAGGATAAGATATCTATTGGTAATAGTAGATCGCTTAACGCAATGGGTAGAAGCTTATCCCGTAGCAGGAGCTACGGCACAAATGGTGGCAAAAATTCTATTAGAACACCTGATACCTAAATACGGGATAATCCAGTACATTGATTCTGCTCAGGGCACACACTTTGCTTCTAAAATAATAAGATTATTCTGTCAGTCATTAGGTATTCAGTGGGAATATTCTAAGTGGTATTGGAATATTCTAAGTGGTATTCTTTATCTGCTAGATTATTTCCTCCGGTGTGGTAATCTAATTAGGTATTCAGTGGGAAAATTCTAAGGAGAATCTCCATCCTTTACTGGATGCGGGGGGGGAAACCTTGTTACAAAAGATGAGGAAAAGGCGGAGGTGCTTATGCCTTCTTTGCCTGTCTTTAGCGGCAATACCGGTTGTTCTCTGGCTACCCGGTACCCTGAGCTGGCAGAAGGGGATGGGGAGCTGAATGTGGCCCTCACTATCCACGAAGAAATGGTTGGTGACCTGGTATGGCACTTGGATGTGCGCAAGTCGATGGGGCCGGATGGGATCCACCCGAGGGTACTGAGAGAACTGGCAGAGGAGCTGGCCAAGCCGCTTACCATCATTTATCAACAGTCCTGGCTATCGGGGGAGGTCCCAGTTGACTGGCGGCTAGCAAATGTGACGCCCATCTACAAGAAGGGCCGTAGGGCAGACCCGGGGAACTATAGGCCTGTCAGTTTGACCTCAGTGCCAGGGAAGCTCATGGAGCAGATTATCTTGAGAGTCATCACGCGGCACTTGCAGGGCAAGCAGGCGATCAGGCCCAGTCAGCATGGGTTTATGAAAGGCAGGTCCTGCTTGACGAGCCTGATCTCCTTCTATGACAAAGTGACGCGCTTGGTGGATGAGGGAAAGGCTGTGGATGTGGTCTACCTTGACTTCAGCAAGGCTTTTGACACCGTTTCCCACAGCATTCTCCTCAGGAAACTGGCTGCTCTTGGCTTGGACTGGCGCACGCTTCGTTGGGTTAGAAACTGGCTGGATAGCCGGGCCCAAAGAGTCGTGGTAACTGGAGTCAAATCCAGTTGGAGGCCGGTTACTAGTGGCGTTCCCCAGGGCTCGGTGCTGGGGCCGGTCCTCTTTAATATCTTCATCGATGATCTGGATGAGGGCATTGAGGGTACCCTCAGTAAGTTCGCAGATGACACCAAGTTAGGTGCGTGTGTCGATCTGCTCGAGGGTAGGAAGGCTCTGCAGGAGGATCTGGATAGGCTGGACCGATGGGCTGAGGTCAACTGCATGAAGTTCAACAAGGCCAAGTGCCGGGTCCTGCACCTGGGGCGCAATAACCCCAAGCAGAGCTACAGGCTGGGAGAGGAATGGTTGGAAAGCTGCCAGGCGGAGAAGGACCTGGGAGTATTGGTTGATAGTCGGCTGAATATGAGCCAGCAGTGTGCTCAGGTGGCCGAGAAGGCCAACGGCATCCTGGCTTGTATAAGAAGCAGTGTGGCCAGCAGGGCTAGGGAAGTGATCGTCCCCCTGTACTCGGCTCTGGTGAGGCCGCACCTCGAGTACTGTGTTCGGTTTTGGGCCCCTCGCTCCAAGAAGGACATGGAGGTGCTTGAGCGAGTCCACAGAAGGGCGACGAAGCTGGTGAGGGGTCTGGAGAACAAGTCCTACGAGGAGCGGCTGAGGGAGCTGGGCTTGTTTCAGCCTGGAGAAGAGGAGGCTCAGGGGCGACCTTATCGCTCTCTACAGGTACCTTAAAGGAGGCTGTAGCGAGGTGGGGGTTGGTCTGTTCTCCCGCGTGCCTGGTGACAGGACGAGGAGGGGGAATGGGCTAAAGTTGCGCCAGGGGAGTTTTAGGTTGGATGTTAGGAAGAACTTCTTTACCGAAAGGGTTGTTAGACATTGGAACAGGCTGCCCAGGGAAGTGGTGGAGTCACCATCCCTGGAAGTCTTAAAAGATGTTTAGATGTAGAGCTTAGGCATATGGTTTAGAGGGGACTGTTAGCGTTAGGTCAGAGGTTGGACTCGATGATCTTGAGGTCTCTTCCAACCTAGAAATTCTGTGATTCTGTGAATTCATACTCCATGGCACCCACAAAGCTCAGGGAAAGTAGAAAGATTGAATCAAACAAATAAAAACAACAATTGGCTAAATCAATGATCGAGACACAAATGCCCTGGATGAAATGCTACCATTGGCACTTCTAAACATAGAACTAAACCACACAGTGAGACTGGATTATCGCCATATGAAATGTTATATGGTATGCCTATTCTCAAGGGATGCCTCTAGGGAACAATGTAGTTGAGGGTCGTAGCATGCAGAAATATATAATTACTATTGGAAGGAGATTGCAAGAGCTAAGAGAAATTGGAGTGATGGCTCAAACGCCACCTTTAGGATTTGCTATTCATAAGATACAACCAGGGGACAAGGTCTTAATAAAAACCTGGAGGGAAGAATCATTGAACCCCCGGTGGGAGGGACCGTACCTTGTTTTACCTGCACATCCAGAATAAAAGGACCAGTAAGTACCGAAACTTGGAGGGTTGAGTCCGCTCCTGGGGAACTGAAACTAAAGCTAGAGAAGAACTAATGTTCTGGCAGTGACGCTCTGCATGAATTAAGGACGCCAAATAAAGGGGACAAGCCTAAAGGGAGGAAAGGGAGAAGGCAAGACCGGGGCAGGACTCTCCACTGCGGTGTGTATGGTCTACCGAGGGAGGCAACCCCTATGGGTACTGACCGCCGAGTGAGAGGGCCTCGACCCGACTTCTCCCACGCTAAGGTCAGGTTGTCCCGAGAAAATAACATAAGAACCTTTTTTATAAACCCATATAAAATTGTGATTTGTTTTCCAGGAGCTGGATCACCCCGACAGGCTGAACTGAATGGTAACACAAGCCCCAATCGACCCTGAAAGCGGGCCCAACCCCTTGATTGAAGGCGTCTTGCCTATTATGATCTGTGAGGAATGTTTTAACAATTCGTGTCAATGGAGAGCTTGAAGGAAAATGTATTCGTATGTTCTTTCCTTGAAGTCTCTGATATCCTGGGGGTTTCAGAACAACTGCTAACTGTTATGACTTCTGAATGGGACACTATGCAAGCCCCTGATATCTGGCCAGGAGATTAAGGAGAAGGGAAAAGCTGAAGGACGGCTAAAAGACAAAGCTTGCAGGGAACGCTGTGCAAGCTTTTGACATACAGCCAAGGAGTACAAAGAAGAAGGACAAGAAAAAAAAAAAAGCCTGAGAGGAAGACTATGAGCCTTCATCATGAAAGACCCCCAGAGGGAGCACCAGAGACTGATACGCATGCTCCAGTAGGAGGGTTCAGATTCCGGAACTAATTATAATAACTCCGTTGTTTGTTTTTTTTAGAAATAGTAATGAATATGTATTAGTCTAGGAGCATAAAAAATCAGCATCTTGATGTAACGGGTGTGCGACCAGGTGGAGCGGAGACTCCCGGCGCACCCAGCGCTGTTTGCCAGCGCTGTTTGCTTACCTCTATTCTTTTAATAAATTGTAAACTTTGATTATAATCCTATTTTGGGACTGAGCTATTTATAACAACTTAGGGGCTCGTCCGGGATGGTTTTGGTTCCTGGATTTTAATCTAGGAGAGGCGCCCCCACCATTTGGTGGCTCCTGTCCGGAACCAATGCCATCTTGAACCTGAATAAAGGTAAGCAAAGATTTTGATTTTGTTATGAGCTCCCTTGCCGGCTGCAGCATTGTTTTTGCCCGTAATTCTGCGCGCGAAGATCCGAACGAAGACGACGGAGTCGTAAGCATTTAAGGCGTGTACCGTTCGGTTGGGTGGGATTCGGTTGCCTGTGTGTGTGTAAGAGTGTGACTGAGACGGAACGTAGTTCCGAAGCGAGTGCGGAGGTCTTCTAACCGATAAGCAAATACTGGGACGTTTGCATGCACAAACACATTGGGGTACAAAGGTGTTAAGTGATCATTTACTAAAACAATTTGGTTGCATTGTTTGTTTTTGAAATAGCAAAGCAAATTACACCACGTTGCTTAACTTGTCAGAAGATAAATAAGAAAGTGTTTTGACAAGCAGCCACGGGAGGGAGAAAAACAGCTTATAGGCCTTTCGAGAGGGTACAAGTTGGTTTCACTGAATTGCCCCAGGTAGGGAGGATAAGATATCTATTGGTAATAGTAGATCACTTAACGCAATGGGTAGAAGCTTATCCCGTAGCAGGAGCTACGGCACAAATGGTGGCAAAAATTCTATTAGAACACCTGATACCTAAATACGGGATAATCCAGTACATTGATTCTGCTCAGGGCACACACTTTGCTTCTAAAATAATAAGATTATTCTGTCAGTCATTAGGTATTCAGTGGGAATATTCTAAGTGGTATTGGAATATTCTAAGTGGTATTCTTTATCTGCTAGATTATTTCCTCCGGTGTGGTAATCTAATTAGGTATTCAGTGGGAAAATTCTAAGGAGAATCTCCATCCTTTACTGGATGCGGGGGGGGAAACCTTGTTACAAAAGATGAGGAAAAGGCGGAGGTGCTTATGCCTTCTTTGCCTGTCTTTAGCGGCAATACCGGTTGTTCTCTGGCTACCCGGTACCCTGAGCTGGCAGAAGGGGATGGGGAGCTGAATGTGGCCCTCACTATCCACGAAGAAATGGTTGGTGACCTGGTATGGCACTTGGATGTGCGCAAGTCGATGGGGCCGGATGGGATCCACCCGAGGGTACTGAGAGAACTGGCAGAGGAGCTGGCCAAGCCGCTTACCATCATTTATCAACAGTCCTGGCTATCGGGGGAGGTCCCAGTTGACTGGCGGCTAGCAAATGTGACGCCCATCTACAAGAAGGGCCGTAGGGCAGACCCGGGGAACTATAGGCCTGTCAGTTTGACCTCAGTGCCAGGGAAGCTCATGGAGCAGATTATCTTGAGAGTCATCACGCGGCACTTGCAGGGCAAGCAGGCGATCAGGCCCAGTCAGCATGGGTTTATGAAAGGCAGGTCCTGCTTGACGAGCCTGATCTCCTTCTATGACAAAGTGACGCGCTTGGTGGATGAGGGAAAGGCTGTGGATGTGGTCTACCTTGACTTCAGCAAGGCTTTTGACACCGTTTCCCACAGCATTCTCCTCAGGAAACTGGCTGCTCTTGGCTTGGACTGGCGCACGCTTCGTTGGGTTAGAAACTGGCTGGATAGCCGGGCCCAAAGAGTCGTGGTAACTGGAGTCAAATCCAGTTGGAGGCCGGTTACTAGTGGCGTTCCCCAGGGCTCGGTGCTGGGGCCGGTCCTCTTTAATATCTTCATCGATGATCTGGATGAGGGCATTGAGGGTACCCTCAGTAAGTTCGCAGATGACACCAAGTTAGGTGCGTGTGTCGATCTGCTCGAGGGTAGGAAGGCTCTGCAGGAGGATCTGGATAGGCTGGACCGATGGGCTGAGGTCAACTGCATGAAGTTCAACAAGGCCAAGTGCCGGGTCCTGCACCTGGGGCGCAATAACCCCAAGCAGAGCTACAGGCTGGGAGAGGAATGGTTGGAAAGCTGCCAGGCGGAGAAGGACCTGGGAGTATTGGTTGATAGTCGGCTGAATATGAGCCAGCAGTGTGCTCAGGTGGCCGAGAAGGCCAACGGCATCCTGGCTTGTATAAGAAGCAGTGTGGCCAGCAGGGCTAGGGAAGTGATCGTCCCCCTGTACTCGGCTCTGGTGAGGCCGCACCTCGAGTACTGTGTTCGGTTTTGGGCCCCTCGCTCCAAGAAGGACATGGAGGTGCTTGAGGGAGTCCACAGAAGGGCGACGAAGCTGGTGAGGGGTCTGGAGAACAAGTCCTACGAGGAGCGGCTGAGGGAGCTGGGCTTGTTCAGCCTGGAGAAGAGGAGGCTCAGGGGCGACCTTATCGCTCTCTACAGGTACCTTAAAGGAGGCTGTAGCGAGGTGGGGGTTGGTCTGTTCTCCCACGTGCCTGGTGACAGGACGAGGAGGGGGAATGGGCTAAAGTTGCGCCAGGGGAGTTTTAGGTTGGATGTTAGGAAGAACTTCTTTACCGAAAGGGTTGTTAGACATTGGAACAGGCTGCCCAGGGAAGTGGTGGAGTCACCATCCCTGGAAGTCTTTAAAAGATGTTTAGATGTAGAGCTTAGGCATATGGTTTAGAGGGGACTGTTAGCGTTAGGTCAGAGGTTGGACTCGATGATCTTGAGGTCTCTTCCAACCTAGAAATTCTGTGATTCTGTGAATATCATACTCCATGGCACCCACAAAGCTCAGGGAAAGTAGAAAGATTGAATCAAACAACAAAAAAAAAACAACAATTGGCTAAATCAATGATCGAGACACAAATGCCCTGGATGAAATGCTTACCATTGGCACTTCGAAACATAAGAACTAAACCACACAGTGAGACTGGATTATCGCCATATGAAATGTTATATGGTATGCCTTATTCATAGGGAATGCCTCTGGGAAACAATGTAGTTGAGGATCGTAGTATCCAGAAATACATAATTACTGTTGGGAAAAGATTGCAAGAGCTAAGAGAAATTGGAGTGATGGCTCAGACACCACCTTTAGGATTTGCTATTCATAAGATACAACCAGGGGACAAGGTCTTAATAAAACCTGGAGAGAAGAATCATTGCACCCCCGGTGGGAGGGACCGTACCTTGTTTCACTTACCACTGAAACAGCTGTGAGAACAGCAGAAAGGGGTTGGACCCATGCATCCAGAGTAAAAGGACCAATAAATACCAAAACTTGGAGGGTTGAGTCCGCTCCTGGGGAACTGAAATTAAAGCTAAAAAAGAACTAATGTTCTGGCAATAAGGCTCTGCATGAATTAAGGACGCCAAATAAAGGGGACAAGCCTAAAGGGAGGAAAGGGAGAAGGCAAGACCGGGGCAGGACTCTCCACTGCGGTGTGTATGGTCTACCGAGGGAGGCAACCCCTATGGGTACTGACCGCCGAGTGAGAGGGCCTCGACCCGACTTCTCCCACGCTAAGGTCAGGTTGTCCCGAGAAAATAACATAAGAACCTTTTTTATAAACCCATATAAAATTGTGATTTGTTTTCCAGGAGCTGGATCACCCCGACAGGCTGAACTGAATGGTAACACAAGCCCCAATCGACCCTGAAAGCGGGCCCAACCCCTTGATTGAAGGCGTCTTGTCTATTATGATCTGTGAGGAATGTTTTAACAATTCGTGTCAATGGAGAGCTTGAAGGAAAATGTATTCGTATGTTCTTTCCTTGAAGTCTCTCATACCTGGGGGTTTCAGAACAACTGCTAACTGTTATGACTTCTGAATGGGACACTATGCAAGCCCCTGATATCTGGCCAGGAGATTAGGGAGAAGGGAAAAGCTGAAGGACGGCTAAAAGACAAAGCTTGCAGGGAACGCTGTGCAAGCTTTTGACATACAGCCAAGGAGTGCAAAGAAGAAGGACAAGAAAAAAAAAAAGCCTGAGAGGAAGACTATGAGCCTTCATCATGAAAGACCCCCAGAGGGAGCACCAGAGACTGATAGGCATGCTCCAGTAGGAGGGTTCAGATTCCGGAACTAATCATAATAACTCCAGTTGTTTTTTTTAGAAATAGTAATGAATACGTATTAGTCTAGGAGCATAAAAAAATCAGCATCTTGATGTAACGGGTGTGCGACTTGGTGGAGCGGAGACTCCCGGCGCACCCAGCGCTGTTTGCTTACCTCTATTCTTTTAATAAATTGTAAACTTTGATTATAATCCTATTTTGGGACTGAGCTACTTATAACATGATCCAGCTACGTGGGCAGAAGACGGATCCTGGGGCTATAGGACCCCAATATATATGCTTAATAGAATAATTAGGTTAGAAGCTGTAATAGAAATAGTTGTAAATAAAACCGGAGATGCACTTGGATTAATTGCAAGGCAAAATACTAAGATGAGGACTGCTTTGTATCAAAATCGCTTAGCTTTGGATTATTTGCGCAAGAAGGAGAAGTCTGTGGAAAATTTAACCTTAGTAATTGCTGT